ATAGTGGCGGTATGGCTGATAGTCCTGATGGCGAGCTCCCTGGTTCTGTTTCTGAGCGCGGTGGCGTCTGATTACGTGGTGGGGAACTATTTAATCTGCGTTTTTTTAGGGTTTTTCTTTTTGTTTTCTGGGTATTTTATAGGGAAGGAAAGCCTGCCAAAGTTCTGGCTTTTTATGTACTACGCATCGCTGTACAGGTATCCGTTGGATGCCTTGCTGGTGAACGAGTATTGGAGTGATAGGCAGAGATGTTTTAAATGGTTGGGAGGAGAGCAGGGGACGGTTTGTTTGATGAACGGTGGAGATGCGCTGAGGAGCAGGGGGTTGGAGAAGGATATTAGGTGGGTCAATGTTGGGGTTATGTGTGGTTTCTTCTTTCTTTATAGGGTTTTGTGTTGGTTGGTTTTGGTTAGAAGGGCTTCCCGGACCATGCTTTGATCAAAGTGTGGTTAATGAGTTTAACCGGATTATGGTTATTGTAATTTCATGTATTTTTTTAATAGTTTTGAGATTATCATAATTTCTAGGCATTTTGGGTACATACCATCAACTTTAAATGTTCTCATGTATATGTGACACTTACCATTTTCTTATTTATATCATCACACTTTTGTTTTTTTGTTTGATTTATAAAGTTTTAGTGTTGGAATATAAATATGTAAGTTTAAATATTAGATATGTAAATATATGACAATTGTGCATATCATGTAAGTACGTATAATATAACATGTGTAATATTTGCTCCTTCAAATGATGGACTTGGGATTTTTATGAGTTAATATATTTGTATGTGTGGGTGTGAGTATGTATGCATATGTATTTATGTTAAATGCGTATGTGTCGCCAGTCATGGCTTGTTGTTAGAACAGTCTCTTTAAAGATCGTAATTCCACTTAGGTAACAGGTTCAAATTCGTCTTCGGCCAATCTCCTCTCGCATAATATTCTTCCGGTCATTCTTTAAAAATAATAAAAAAACAAGAATATGGAATGCGTGTGCGTGCATAGTTATGTTCACCAGTTTTATTGCGAAAAGAATTGCTAAAAGCTCCCTAAAATTGGAGAAAAATTTGCGTACATAAGACATACACAGTTTACGTACGTAGCGCTGCGTACGTCAGAGAGGCTATTTAGAGGGTATTGGGGGGATATATCTGCGTTATACCTATGTAACCTCCCTGTAGCCTACTTGTAACCTACTTGTACCTTCTAGTAAGTTCTGCACTTCTGTTTTCATATATTTGTAGGTTATGGTTAGGTTACAGATAGGTGACAGAGATGTTACAGAAGGTATAACACGTATATAACCCCCCAATACCCTCTGAATAACCTCCCTGATGTACGCAAATTTTTCTCCTAAAATTGAGTTTCCTTTGTTTATTATTAGCCCGCAGCTGGTTATTTTAAATAGAATATATAATGTCTTGGTATCATCTAAAAGCCTAACAATGATTTTAATTTCATTATTCCAAAACATATTTTCATAAGAGGATAAATTATGATAAAAATTAATTAAAAAAATCATATAATTGTTAAAATATATATAATTATGCCATCATCTTTGGGAATCTACGTGCCATCATGCTAGCAATTTATTAATCAGAGTTAATTAATTAAACCAGCTTTGTCTGGGCTCATCACACTTAATTTATTTGTCCAAATGACGAACTTATTACATCATTAGTACCATTTTTTTTGTTAATAAAGGACATCATTTAGAGTTGAACTTTGATTAAGAAAAAAACGGCTTGGAGTCTATTTGGTACATGTCATTTAATTCTTATTCTTTATAAAACTAATTAATGCCTTCCGACGCCATGTTATTAGAGCTATTGCCTTATTATATTTTAATATATAAATATTTTGGTCAATCATTATCTCTATGAATTTTAGAAAAGAAATTCGATTTAAACCTAAAATCAAAATGCCAATAATCAAAATCTAATTCCATATATATTTGTGTTTGGTTCTCCATTTATTTATTTATTTATTTTTGCCTTATTTTTAAAATTTTAATTGAATCAGAGTACTACTATATTCTAATTTGATTCAAACTTCGAGTTAACTTATTAAAAAAATGAATAATTTTTATATTTAAATTGATTAAGCAAAAAAATTAGATTCAATTGCAACAATCAATAAAAAAAATAAATAAATAAAATAAAATCTCTGAGGGCGTTTGGTGACATAATTTTAATAAAATTTAATCATGAATTTAACATAAATCTGATCGAATATAAAAAATTAAAATTAAAATTAAATCCAACGAAATATTTTTTATGTTCTTTCTTTTCATCTGGCATTCCGACTATTTTATAATGTAAATTTGAAATTTATTAAATTTGATTGCAAGACGGAATTAAATTTAAAAAGTATAGTGCTACGAGCGTCATATCTCCCTCAATAAAAATTCAGATGTTACAGATTTACTAAATCTTATTTAACGTAAATAAGAAATGCAGCCAAAAAACGTCCATCCACTTTATTTTTAAATCAAACAAATAACTTCCAATAATCAAAACACTGCATTTAATTTACATCACAATCTAAAAAAGTAATTTTTGATTTTCATCTTTAATACACTTTACTTAGTCAAATCTTTACTTTTCTTTTCTCTTTGTTTGGCTAGTTTATATATATATATTTCACTCTCCTTATTATCTAATATATTATAAAGATCTTTAAAAGCAGAATTTTTAGCGTCACAGATTGTTCTTTTAGGCTCCATGCGGGCCGTTTGATATTTTTCTCAGTTCTCTAAGCTTTTACATTTAAACCAATTTTTATAACATAATTTCTTATATTTTATCTTTTCTTGAACATTATTATTTCACCACCAACTTTTTTTATTTATAAAAACTTTTTCTTTTGATTCCCCAAGCACATCTTTTGCCACTTGTTTAATAGTGTTTGTTACTTTATCCCACATAATATTTGCTTCTTCATGAACTTCCCAAATTTTGAAATCTTGAATTTTACTCATAAAAATAATTTTATTTGTGTTGTTTAGGTTCCTCCATCTAATTCTACAATGATAAGTATTAATATTTTTTATTTTACAACACTTCATCTTAAAATCTAGAATTAATAAACGATGTTGAGTACTTAAATTCTCGCTTGGAATAACCTTACAATTTTTACAATCTCGACTATCTCTTCTTCTCATAAAAAAATAATTAATTTGTGTTTTATTAGATCCACTCTTATAAGCAATAAGATGCCCATCTCTTTTCTTGAATAAAGTATTAGTAATAACAAAATCATATGTTAAACAATATTTAAAATAACTCTACCTTCTTCATTAGTTACTCTAAAATCGTAGCCACTATGAGTATTTCTGAAGCCTTCTATCACTCTACCGACATATCCATTTAAATCTCCTCCAATAAAAATTCTTTCTTCAAGAGGTTTTCACGGTATTCAAGTTATACAACGCATCGTTTCTAGGAGACGCCCTAGCACTTACATAATGATCAAAAGAATTCATGTCATGATTTCTTCAACAAATTTTACGCTGGCTGTCGACTACCTAACGCAACCCTCAACTTTTCAAATACGGGCTTGAAACTGACAATGACAGTGTTTAAAATTAAAATAGGAATAATAAAAATATTTAAATCAATAAAAAAAAATGTAATTCTAGGAGAGTATTTCGTGCTATAATTTTAATAGAAATTAATCATAAATTTAACATAAATTCAATAAAATAATAAAAAAAAATTAAAAATTAATCCAACAAGAAATACTTAATGTTTTGGCTTTTCTTCTCGCATTTCGATTATTTTATAACATAAATTTAAATTTATTAAATCCGATTGTGAGATGGATTTAAATTTAAGAATTTCTTTTGTCATGCTATTAGAGCCATCTCCATCAATAAAAATTCAGATGGATCAAATTTATTAAATCTTATTCAACGCAAATAAGAGATGCAGCCAAACACCACCGTCCACTTTACTTTACAATCAAACAAATAACCTCAAATAATGAACATAATGCATTAAATTTACATCACAATCTCAAAAACTAAGAACAATCTCATTTCCATGAACAACATTGTGACAGACCCACAAACAACAACAGAAATTTGACAAGGCAAAACTGCGCTAATCATGTTGCATTTATAGCTTCAACAAGCCTAAAATACAAAATGTCTCTTCTTTTAATAAAACATTTACACATTCAGAACAATAATCAACACTCCCCCCATAATCCAACCGAAGATTGAAACCCACATATCAAGACTCAGAATACAATAAAAATGAAGTTTTTAACAGAGAAGAAAACAATCTTTTATTCACATGAGAAATTTATAGAGATTGATGAACTATAACTGGATATAAAACAAACAAAGAAAAAAAAAAACAGAAAACTATATATAATAAGACCAATCAAAGATGAAGATGTGTGGCAGGTCCAATAATGTTAATGTTCTCACACATTTGTACTATCAACACACTTCGGCGCATTCCCTCGCTTTCTCTCCCTCCAGTTTTCCCCCCAAACCTTTGCCTCTGCTATCGCCCGTTCTCTGTCAACATCTCTGTTGAGGCCCTTTGGAGAATCTCTCGGCCGGATGACATGGTTCGGACTATCACGATGCGAATCCTGCCGCTCGAACTCCTCCAATCCCCATTTTCTTCCCGATACCCCGTCACCATCACCTCTTCCAACATCAGCTCCTAAGTTCATCCCTTTGATAGAATCCCTCAGCCTGAGCTTTGGCGAATCTCTATGAGGTGAATCCGTCGCACTTTTACTATCGGAGCTGCCGCCATGGTTTCTTCGCTCCTCCCGAGACCTCGGCGTCGAAGGCCCGACCCTGCTACTCTGCATAGGAGGAGCGTTGGGATCGTAGGTTTGCGAAGCTAAGTAAGAGAGAGCAGTGACGACATCGCCAATAAGAGGTCTGGTTGCAGCTTGCTCCTGCAGGCACATGGCGGCGACGGCTAGAGCTTGGTACAGACCTCTCATGGGATAATGGCCTTGCAGCAATGGGTCTGCCATTTTCGGAAATTTTCGTCGATCTTTGAATAACGGGCGAGCCTGCACCAAATGTGGCTGGATCATAACCAACTCAGAGATTAAAAAAAAAAAAAAGAGACATTTACACGCACAGCGCACAATTGTAATGTACTTACAGATCTAATATCTAAGCTTTGCTTTTTACATTTGTACCACCAAAATCTTCCATATCACTCCAAAAATATCACTTTTTTAAACTTAAAAAAAGGGTGAAATGTGCCTTTTATGTGTGTGCGTGTGTAAAAATTGAAGTTTAGATGTTAAATATATAAATACATAATACGTAGGAATTGAGTGACATGTATGTAAATCTTTCATAAAAAAAATTCTCAGAATGAAGTACGGACTGAATCAAAACATTGGGATAATTTGAGCACATAAAGTGGAAAGCTATTCGTGACCAAAATGGGACAAAAATCTGTAGTAAAGTACCAAAATAGTCCCATGACTGTTTACATGGGTTCATTTTAGTCCCCAAAGTCTCTAAAAATGTCAAATTAGTCCACAAATTCTGTAAATTGGGGTTAAATCATCATCTGTGGAGATTATTTTAGTCCATATCAAAAGAGTCTGATGATTAAATTGGCACTTTGTACACTCTGGGACTAAAACGACCCTACAAAAAATACAGACAAGAATAGAGAGTGGTAGAAGGAATGAAGAAAACCAACCCAAGCAACAAGATTTTGTTCTCCAGTGGGTCTGGTGTTGTCGATTGCTTTCCGTCCTGTGATTAATTCGAGGAAGACGACCCCAAAGCTATAGACATCGGATTTAAGCGTAAGTTGCCCGGTCATGGCGTACTCTGGAGCACAATATCCATAGGTCCCCATCACTCTTGTTGATACGTGAGTTTTGTCGCCAACTGGACCAAGTTTTGCTAAGCCAAAATCTGACAGCTTTGGATGATATTCATCACTGAGAAGTATGTTCGAAGATTTGAAATCTCTGTAGATTACTGGAGGATTTGCCTTATCATGCAGGTATTCTAATCCTTTAGCTGCACCAGCTGCGATCTTCATCCGTGTGTTCCAGTCAAGGGGTTGCTTGTCGGATGGTAGATCTAGGACAAGAAAGCCAATTAGCTAATATATCTTAGGAGAATTTACATACATACTACTCAATTCTATGAATTTGCATATCTAACACCTAAACTTGAATTTTTACGTTTATGCCACTTTACTTTGTCATGAAAAGATGTATTTTACTTCTTTTTAAAGTTAAAAATTGTGGGTTTTTTGATTTGATATGAAATTTTTGGGTGGTATAAATGTAAAAAGTAATGTTTCAGGTGTTAGACATATAAATACATATGACTAGGGTGGTATGTATGTCAATGGCCCATATATGTTTGATGCTAAGTATTTATAGTCTAATTACTTAAATTTGATTTATTGATTTTAATCAAAATTGATATAATGTATAAGGTAACATTTAGCTGTTTAGTGAAGTTTAAAATTAAAAAGAACAATTTTTAAATCTATAAATACGGCTATTTATTTGATATTTTCATCATACATATCCGTCTAATAAGATAGATAGTTCTTAAAAAATATACATTATATGAAAATCGATGCAAGAATATAAAATAAGTCATCAAATTAACAATAAATCATCTATAAAAAAGAATTTTATTGAATTCTTAGCAAACTATTTATTAAACAATAAGCAAGCCTATTCACGAATATAAATGAACAAGACACTTTCAAGCCTGCAAGCTTTTAAAATTTTGTTCAAGCTTATATTTGGTAAGCAAGTTGAGAAAGTTAACATGCCTATATAAGGTGACATGCTCCATGACAACATGCAAATATTACAAACCGTAGAAAATAAACTTGGAGAGGAATAATTCTTTTTATTCTATTATTCATATGTAGGGTTGTCAAAAAAGCTCGTTGTTCGAGAACAGCTCGTGTTCGACTTGTTAAGTAGCACATGTTTGGCTCGTTTGTTAAGTAAATGAGTCGATAATGAACAAATTTTTAAGCTCGAATTATAAAAAAACCGAACATAAACAATTGTTTGTTCGCTAGTGTTGGTCTCATGTTAGCTCGAAATAAGGAAATTATATATATTATTTATATAATAATATATTATATATATATTTATATCTAAATTTAAATCATAACAACTCGTGTGGGTCATGTAGTTCTGCGCCTTCTATTGCGCCTAGTTGGTACAAGTTCGAATCAAACACCATACATCTATTTTTTCAATTAATTTTGACGAGTCAATTTCGAGCTGAATACAAGCTAAACATGAACAATAATATTTAAATCGAGCTCAACACGAACACATTGTTCACGAGCGAATTTCGAATACGAGTAATTTCGAACGAGCTGAACACAAGCCAAGCCTGAGCTCGCTCAAGCTCGGCTTGCTTACAACCATATTCACATGTAAGGTACTTACATATAGGGAAAACAATCTCTCATAACTTACAAACTTACAAAATATATCTAACCTAAATTAGGAAAGGTAATATTTTAAAATAAAAAATAAAATAACATAGAATAGGAAATGAATAAACTAATTAAGAGTTTCTTAAGTTGTCCCAATCAAATCCTCCAAGATCTTCTTAAATTTCCTCTAGGACATTCGCAGATATTGTAGAGACCAAGCTTGGTATTAAACTCTAAGATGGTGCTTAAAGGAAAAGCTTTGGTGAAGATATCAAGAGCTTGATGGTGTGTTGGGATGTAGCTTAGTTGTATAATTCTCACATTAAGCTTTTCTAAGATGAAGTGTCTATCAACTTCAATATGCTTGGTTCTGATGCACATAATTCTTGCAATGTTGATAACTGCTTGACTGTCATAAAACATTTGTATAGGCCTATTGGAGGGACATCCTAGTTCTCTTAACAATTTCTGAATCCATACTCCACAGATTCCCAAGGACAGTGCCTTATACCCGGATTCTACACTGCTTCTTGAAACGACAACTTGCTTCTTACTTCTTTGTATAACCAGATTTCTCTATGCATATGAGCAGAAACCTATGGTAGACCATCTTTCAGTGAGTTCACTGGCCTAACTAGCATCAACGAAGGCTTGAGCCTCTCAATTTCTGTTTTTCTCAAAAATTGATCCATAGCCAGGAGACTTCTTGAGAAGCCTTAGAATCCTGCATATAATCTCTAAATGCTCTTCATTTGGGTTATTCATGTGTTGGCTCGTAATACCAACAAAATATGCAATATCTGGAAATATGTGACAGATAAATGAGTTTTCCTATAAATTTTTATTTTCCCTTATCCACGGATAAACTTACTTCTTATTGTTAGACTTCTTGCAGGATTCCATTTGAGTATCAACAGAATTGCATCCACGTTTTCTTTAATAGATCTAAGATATATTTCCTCTGTGATATAACAATGACTTTCTGGGACCTTGCTACATCTATACCTAGAAAATATCTTATGTTTCCCAGGTCCTAGATTTTAACTCGACAACAAACACTTTTTTGAGTTTAAGAATTTCCCTTTCATCATCACCAGTAAAAAACATATTATATATATATATATATATATATATATATACAATTAGTTTAGCATTCTTATCTCTGTGAGTTTATTTTATGAATAATTTGTGATCAACTTGACTTTAAGAATATCCATCAGATTTCATAGTTTTAGCAAACCTTCAAAATCACACCCTTGGTGATTGCTCAAGGCCATAAAGAAATTTCATGAGTTTGCATAATAGGTGTTGGCATCATTCTCAAGACCTATTGATATCTCCATGTACACTTCTTCCAAATCCCCATTTAGGAATGTTTTTCTATGTCGAGTTGATGCCATCCCCATACCTTGTTAACTGTTGTTGAAAAGAGAAGTCTGATGATATTCAGTTTGAAAACTAGTGTGAAAGTCTCCTAATAGTCAATCCCATAGAATTACGTGAAAATTTTTACAACAAGTTAACTTTGAATCTTTCGATACTCTCATCAGCTTTGTATTCGATGTTGAACACCAGCTTGTATCCAACTATCTTTTATCCTTGAGTGAGTTTAGTAAGAATCCATATGTAACTATGTTGTAGTGCTCCAATCTCCTCTTTCACCGCTTTCCTCCATTATAGATTTTTGAAAAGCTTAATGAATGAATTTAGGAATATACATATTAACAAGCTTAGATATACAAGATTTATAGAATTAAGATAGCTTCATATAAGCTACATACTCTTGAATTGGATATCTAATGCAGCTTTCCTTGTCACTAGTATTAGAAGAGGAAGGGGATCACTCGTGAGTTCTAAACTCCTTACCCAAAAATTCAAGCGAATGTGGTCTCATGTTTTGGTTTGAGCAGTTCTGTCATTGCAAGTTGTCTTCTTCCACTTGCTCAATGTTTTTCTTCCTCCCTATGCATACACGAAATTATTTGTTTTGCACTTTAAGTTGGGTTGGCTGGCCATCCTCAACATGGATTGGAGGGCTAAGTGGAATAAGTAATGAGACTGTGTAGGTGTCATTAAGTGCATCCCAAAAATGATGTTTATTTCCACTCTCCCCTTGAACAACTGATTTGGGATAATATAATTAATACTAAAAAAATATGACATTAATGGAATTATAGTATTTTTTGATGACAGGAGAGTAGCACTTATATCATTTTTTTGTTGGTGACATGCTCAAGAAAAATACTTGATGGATTTATGGTCAAGTTTTGTATGATTTTGGGAGTGGACATGAACAAAAGATACACACCCAAAGATTTTAAGTGGGATAGTAGAAGATAAAACTCTGATGTGATAATAGGTAACAACCATCAAAACATTATGAGATGCTTTAATGTTACGTACCCAACTAAACATTCGATTGATATGATATATTATAGTAAAAGCTGCTTCCTTCCAAAAATGTTTATAAACCTAATGGGTCAAATGAGAAGGGTCGTACCTCAAGGAAATTTTGTTCTTTCTATCAGCTATTCTATCGTGTTATTGGGTATCAATACATGAACTCATACATATAATTCTATTTTCTTAAAAAAAAACTCAAAGATAAAGTTGAAATATTCATTTGCATTATCAACTTTGAGAATCTCAATTTTGAGTTGAAATTAAGTCTGAATCATGTAATGGAATATTTGGGTTGTTTCAGATTTCTCATTTATTAGGAATACCTAAGTGGTTCTAGTGTGACAGCTAATAAATGAGACAAAACCATCTAACAACATTTAAGATTCACATTTGAAGGTCCTCAAATATCACTATGAATAATGACAAAAATGTGTGAGGGTTTGTACTTAAATCAAAGAATAACCATTTCTAATATGTTTAACAAGTTGACAAATCTCACATTGATAAAAAATAAATTTTTAATTGATAAATAAATGAGGATACAACTTAGCAATATAATTAAAATTAAAATGATTTTAACAACAATATCATAACAAGACCTGATTTGCGACAGACATGAACTAAACTGACTTGAAAATTGAAGGTAGATATGTATGTTGAATTAGTTGCGTTTAAAGAGAGATTTTCCATGAGCAGATATAAGTTTTGATGCATTTTAGTACTATCAAACACCTTACCCAAATCCACCTAAAATTTACAAGAGTTTGCAGGAAATTTTGTTATACATTTCATATCATGAGTATGTTTACTAATTGTAATCAAATTACAATCCAACTGTGAAACATATAAAACAGAGAAAAAAATAATATTCTGAGAGAGCTTCACATTTTCTTTCCCAGCGATGTTTGAGTGTTATCTGTTTGCAAGTCTTATTGATCTAGATATAGAAGCCTCTCGATAGTTGAACAGAGCATTGATTTCTTCGGTAATATGATCAGATGCTCTTGAATCTATGATCCAAGTTCTAAATCTCCAATTACTGGCAAGACGAGAGAATAATAAATTACATTAGAGTGTTATGAGGTTGGTGTGCTGCTTTGAATTATCTCAAGTGAGTTTTCTCAGTACTTCAAGTAGTTCATTGGTGAATGGTTCAGCCGGACCTTTGGATATGGTAGCAAAAATAGTATTTTTCTCTTGATCATTCCTTCTTTGTCCAGGTTTCCGGTTTGCATACTTTTCATGAAGTTTAAAACAT